AAAAAAAAAAAACCAAAGTAGACTCCCTCGAATGAACTGAAGAAGAAGTTCTGAATAAAAATTGCAACATTTTCATAAAAGAGTTAGACATTGTAGTTTTCAATTAAGTCCATAAAGTATTTAAATTTCAATAGGAATTAGTCCTAGACTTGACTAAAAATAAATGAAAATATTAGAGATTCAAGGTATTTTTCACTTTAAGAGCCGTTGTATTTCAACCATCCTAGTGGTTGGACTCCAAATTTAAGTGTTTGGATTTTAAGAATTTTACCCTTACCAATAATTTAAAAAATCTCAGCATTTCCCATTTTTCCCAATTTTCTTATGTTCAAGAAAAATTAAAAAAGAGAAGGGCCGTTGCATTCCTTCTCTTGTGGCACTAGTTAGAATTATCTGTGATTCAAAACGAGGCCACGGTTTAAATTCCATATTTCAAAAAAAAAAAAAAAAGAAAACGAGGTCACGTTTGTGGTCGAACTTAAAAAAGTCTTAAAATTGTCCTTTTACTGAAGCTAGTCACGTGCTTATGAGCTGTTATCCATACACTGATCTTCTGTTGGAATGAATTTTTTCGACACAGATTACTGCAGAGCATTATTTTGATTGATGAAGTGAAGAGACTCACTTTGTTTTGTTTTTCTCTTCCTTCATTGCACTTATCAATATAGATATATAACCAAATTTAAATCAATGTGGGCATTTAATCAAACTGAACACGACTCTTGGGACAAGTAATGATATAATATTTTTTAATTCATATCCCAAAATGTATTCGAACTGCTTGCATACATTTAAAAGTAACTTAGTGTAAGATAATATATTTTATTGAGAGAAATCAATAAAAAAAAGAAAAATGGACCAGCATCTTAATATTTATTTGTAAATTGAGAGAAAAAGATGTTCATTGTTGAAGAACCAAAACCTAGAAATTTTAGACTTGCCTATTCCATTTACCTAACAAAAGAAAAAACAATGTATCAATAGCATAAAACTAAAACCAGAAGTCCTTAAAGAGATCTGAACACCAAAAAAAAAAAGAAAAAAACTCAAATTCGTCCTAAAATTAATTTCCTCTTCAAACAATTCCAAACAAAACCTTCTAAAACATCTTTTTTTTTTTAAAACAAATTATAATTATTTACAGAATTAATTGAAAAAAAAAAATTCATAAAACTCAAATGTGCAATTCATAAAAATTAAATAGTTCTAATCTAATATCCAACATAATTGGACCAGAACCAACCATTCTTCTAAAACATCATTTATAAACAAAAAGATGTGAAATATAAATTTTTCTAGAATGAGAATATGGGGTTTTCGAACTCATAAGCCTGTGGTCATTTGCATCCAGAAAATCTGAAAAATATGATTGAACATGATATTTATTGATGATTCAAGAAAAAAAATTGAGATCACAAAAAATGGGAAACAAATAGCCAACGAATAGACATCTAACTGTTTTATTGAAAAGGTCGTTGATCCAACAGCTAGAAAAGTCGATTGCATGTTAGCGCTAACAGAGCACTGCTCATTTCTCTTCACTTCATCAATCAAATGATGTGTGCAGTAATCTGTGTCGGCAAAGTTCATTCAAATAGAAGACCCGGTATGGATAACAGCTCATAAGCACGTGACTACGTTCAGTAAAAGGACAACTTTAAGTCTTTTAAGTTCGACCACAATTCACAAAAGTGGCCTCGTTTTGAGTCACAGATGATTCTAACTAGTACTACAAGAGAAAGAATCACCAACGAGGGATTGGATCAAGTAGTAAGCGGATTTTTCGGCTTAAGAAAGGTTTCGAATTCGAGACCTTATGAATGCAGTAGTCCCTGCTGGGAGACTCACTCACCATTTTCAAATGCGCGACGTGGGTCGAGTCCGGATTAGTCGAGGCGAAACCCTGGATACCGGGCGAGAAACCAAAAAAAAAAACAAGAGAAAGAATCCAAGGGCTCTTAGGGTGGAAAACAACTTGAATCTCTCATGTTTTCATTTATTTTTAGTAAAGTTTTTTTTTTTTTAACAATATTATCATAAAACGGACTAAAACCTCAAAAAAAAGGTGCACTTCAAAGTGATAAAAGGTCACTTTACTTAAAAGATCATGTGCTTTTTTTTTTTAAAGTAAAGTTTAAGACTAATTCCCATTGAAATTTAAATGGTTCATGGACGTAATTGAAATTAATCCGTTTTTCAAAGTCATGTCAAATTTGGTTAGCACTTTACCAGAAGGGTCAAATGACCTTCGATCTATTTTGGAGGTGTACTCCTCCCTTTTTATGATGGGTTGGAACCTACCCTTGTTTACTTGTTAAAAAAAAAAAAATAATGTCAAACTTGGTTATATATCTATATGAGCAGTGCTAGGGGCACTCGCCTCCTGCACTCTCCGGCCAACACTTCCCCTTTCATTGGGCCACGTTATTTTAGTTTTGGTTAAACTCTCATTTTGGTCCCTCAACTATTGTACGGAACCCCGACTTAGTCCCTCAACTCAAAAAATTCTTGATTTAGTCCTTATTGTTTATCATTTTGACCTCGACTTAGTCCCTTCATTAAAAATCTAGTGACATGTCCCGTTAATTAATTGGAGAATGATGACGTGTCCAAATAACTTGACACATCAGATGCATACCTGAAAAAAAAGACAACATGACAAAAAAAAAAACAATGACATGGAAAAAAAATATAAAAAACTTAAAA